CATTGGTCACAATAATTAAGAAAGTGGGATTGAGATTTTGTTAGCGGTTTGCAAATGCGCCTGCGATTACGAAAGTGCCTAAAATATCAAATTTAATGGCTTTCAATTATTCATTCACAAAGGAATCTTAATTCTTCTTTGGAAAATTTCTTATATTATCTTTCTTCTTTTCATAATATCAATTATATACATATCTTTAGTACAACGATGATAGAAAGATAAATACTTCTAATAACATCCGAATTCAACTACTGAATAACTATCAAACGGTAGCATAAACTCACAAAAAGCTTACCGAGTTGAGACCATACCTAGCTACAAAAAGCTTACCGAGTTGAGACCATACCTAGCTATGTTACTCTCTTAATATAATAATTAGAGACTAGACCAATAGTTACTCTCTTAATTCAAGAGCATATGTTACTGATCTGAGCGTCGAGAAATCATCTAAGTACAACACAAGTATGTCGGATCCTCAACCCAAATTCCTATCAAAATATATCAATTAATGCTAAATATATTATAAAAACCGTAATCATGTAGTACAATGAGCCATGCATATATGTAAGTATTCATGACTAAGTCCAATTAATTCTTTGTTCAATTTTTGTAACAATTTAACAACTCTAACAGAAATGAAACAATTTGATTAAAAAAAAAATAGTGAAAGAACTATAGTTCAAATCGTATTTAATATAATAGCTGTATATAGTAAAACTCTAGATTAGCTTGGTTGGAGGTTAATAGAGTTGGTCATCTAGACGTTGATGTTTATTATTCATATTCATCGCAAATGGCAAGCATTTTAAAAATTTAATATAATAATTCAACTTTTTTTTTTAATTAATCCAGTCGAATCAATGAATTAGAACGAAATTCATATGAGATCTCCTCCACTACTATCTTAATTTTGAACAACTCCATATGTTCCATTTTATAAAAAAACAAAATATATATAAATATTATTTTTTCACTTTATTTGATATTTTACGATCATTTGTATTTTGTATTTTTCTTGGAGATATTAATTAATTGGAGTTTCCCTTAAATAAGAATGATATTGTTTTGTCTTGTTGATCGGTCAATTTATATAACCGTAGGTGCTCACTCGGTCGGTAGTGAACCTAGTGCACCGACTATACCCAACGATTGACCAGACTCTCGACCCAAGTTACGCCCTTTACTTAAAAAACCGTTGCCCATCTCCCACCCCGGACCCGAACGCGGTCTTGTACTCACGCAACGACTGTGAGACTCTGATGGTTGTGGACAAGATGTACTACAAGAATAGTATGGCTCATAAGGGGTTCCTTGTCATCGATGATGAGCTAGCCACCAATCCGAGGACCGCGCCGTTTGTGGCCAAAGATGGCTGCGGACAATGGTTACTTCCATGAGCAATTCTCACGCCGTGTCAGGCTCTTGTCCGAGACCAACCCGCTCACCGGTGACCAAGGGAAGAACAGGAAGGATTGTCGTTATCTGAACTAATTGATTATAATGTTGTGAAAGATGATAATCATATATATGTAACAATGTATGTATGTAAATGGTTTGGATTCCATAAGAAGAAATACCTAAACTGTTATGGATTGAGATATGTTTGGATCGTCTCAAGGTTCGATGGGATTTTTGTACTTTGCCATTTGTTGGTATATTCGTGAGTTATTAGCAAACAACTAAAATGTATAAAAATATATGATCCTCTCCAGCTCATTCACGGAAACGAGTGAGAGATGCACATAACTTCTCGATGCGGGCAGGAATGAAGCTAGTAAGGAAAAAAAATGATTAGATCAACATCAGATGTAGATTAAGACAGAGAAGAAGATAAAAACTCACCCAATCGGAAAATCAGATGACCGTGAAGCAGCAAAGACGTCAAACTCTCCCTTAAAGATTCCGGGATGCCTTAATTCAGCCAGGAGATGAATAACAGATTTGACGAATGGATTCATGATCGTTTCAGACAGAGAACAGAGAGATTGTATTTAAAAGAAACTGATATGAAACGATGAAACAGTAGAGAAAGAGGGTAGTGGTATTTAAAGAGAAAATTGTGTGGTGTTTATTTGGATGTTTCAATTTCAAAATTGAAATACGGGCGAGATTTTGAAAATTTTAAAAATTCAAATCTAAATATCAAGCGGGATCTACTAAAGAGGAACACCGCTAAGCTTCGCGACAATCTCCAGAACCTTCGGAACCCGACCAAGAGGTTGTGCATTTCTCTCCTTTTTTTCAATCCTCATTCTCACAAATAAGGTGGAGTTGTATGAGAGGGTTGATAGTAAAACTAAATTTAGACGGGATCTTAAGATTTTTTTTTTTTTTTTGTCTAACGGGATCTTAAGATATGCTTAAATCTCAAAAACTAAATTCAGGCAGTGAAATATAATTTGGTGAGAAGTTTTTTTGATACATGGAAAATATTATATGATGCGACTGATGGGTTTGAGAATTTAAGATTTCGTTATGTGCAGTGATTGTACATTGGCTAGTAGCTCTAGGCAATCGCTTCTTTCGGTTCAAAAGGGTTCGCTTTATTCAAAAATTCAAACCACTTGGAAACCTAAATGGGATTTACCCAGTTTTCTTATTGTTGACACGGTTTATTAGTTATTATCTTATTATATAAATCATAATGCTTTCAACGAGAATCTGATACGTAGGAAAAATTATAAATCACGAGATCGTGATGTGTTTAATTTGATTATAACATGTGTTAAAATTTTAAAATTAATTAAGAAAAAAAAATAAAATTAAAAGTGGAAACAAATAAAATAATTGTCAAGTAATTAACCAAATAGTAAAAAACAAAATTTATTGTCTAAATTAAATTTTTTTTTAAATTATAATAGTCTAGACTAATTAGGCCATGGAAGTCCAAACT